TCTCTCTCTCTCTCTCTCCAGTTACCGACTCCCCCGTCCCTCCCTCAACTCCTCATGCTTCACGCCCTCCTAAATAAACACACAAACACCCACGCAAAGAGCAACAACCCAAAACAACTTGATTCTAACGTTGATGATGGAAAGTAAAGCACACAGCGAGCGCAGTAAAAAAGTTTCTCGATGCAAAAGAATTGTGTAGCACAGCAATAAAACACAATACATGTAGTCTAGTAGAAATTACTTGTTTCCATAACAAATCCACTCATTACGTAGTATGCGTTTTTCAGTCACGGTACGTATTTTTCACCAATGTCCCTAAAATTCTAGAAGTAGGCTACTTGTTTCGGTTGAGGTTTTTTTCTTTTTTTTTTGGGGGGGGGGGTGCTTAAAAAAAAAACAACTCTTCACCAGCCTCTTCTTGGATCTATACACTTCCACCACAGATGCAAAATAAATAATTGTTTCTTACACACGTCTAAACGTCGACATCAGTTCCCCAGATCAAAATATGATGTACCTACCTACGTAGCAGCAGCACCACCACCTGTTGAGCGCAATGAATGCACGATCCCCGAGGAAGAAGCGACAGAGAGCGCTCCTGGGCAGAGAGTCGCGTCGGATTTCTCTGCACGCCGGAGATAGTCGCGTCACGGCGTGGTCGAGACAGGCGATGGGCGCTTGGGGCCTTTCTCCGCACGGTCGTCCCCAGTCGCCTCCCGTGCTTCCCTTTTCTCTACCACGTGACGAGAAAGGCCCAATAGCGAGAGGGAAGGACGCGTGTTTCGGGCGTCATGTCGGTGAGAGAAATCCGAAACGCGACCCGCTAAACACTGCACGTACGGGCCTTTCTTTTCCCTTCACTGTAGGTCTAGGCCTTTCTCAGTATCGAGAAGGCCTAGCTGAAGGTCTATCTGTCTCTTAAAAATCGTAGTACAAACGTCAGGTTAGAAGAATAAGAATTGCTCATAGCTGACGCAATAGTGTATGAACTACTCCTATTTATATATCTGTAAGTAACCGTTCTTTCAGCTAGACTTTTGTTGTAACCGCTAAGGTCGTTCTTGTATTTTTATCTGTCATTTTTAGAGGACTTTGGGTTTGATTTTAAAAACACTTTCTAGATCTATCTTATCATCCAATTTAATGTTGCTGTATGTTGTTTTCCGATCTTTGCGCAATAAAGCACCCCGTCTCGTGTCATTCTGCCTGCCTACGTTGTTTTGGTACCAAGCCAGGTTTCCGTGTCCTGCGCCCTTCTTCTTTTTGCTTTCCACTTCCTCACTTGCCTTCTACACGCATTTTTATTATATCAACTCTTTCGGCAGGCACACACACACACACACACACACACACACACACACACACACACACACACACACACACACACACATCGCTAGCACCATAGACAAGGAGCAATTTTCCACCCTTATGAGCGTCACGACATCAAATGCAGATTATCAGCCTTGGGTGTATGTTTGCAAGGAAGTTTGAAGTTTTAAAATCCCCATTGCCAAAACGTGAAAGATTAAAGGAGGCAGGCTGCTTCGATCATGACTGGGTGGGACACAGCATCACAGGAGAAACACGGAGAAAGTCCATAAAATAACCCCCCCCCCCCCCTCGAAGGAATCCAACTCTTATTTTCTCAACTCAACGACAAAGAGCCTAATACGGGGTGCCCATTGGAGGATCGGGTCGGGTTGGGTCGGTTTGCTAGCCAGCTATCGTGGCGCAAGCCGATCGCACCCGACTCGTCGCCTCTAAAACAAACGCATTTGTTTTCAGGCGTCGAGTCGGTGGGTGGTTGGCGGGTGCTCTGGTGTGGTTTGCTTCTTTTTTTTCCAATCAAACATCTATCATCCTTATCGCCCCTTCTTCTTTTTTATGTTTGTTACTCTCTTGTAACACCTCTAATCTTCTAGCGCTCATATGACCGTATGCAGTTGCGAGTGCCCTAAAACTTCTACTACAACTAAACTAAACTAAGCGTTGAGTCGGGCGATCGACCCGACCCAACCCGATCCGACCCGAGCCCATCCAAAATGGGCACCAGTTATATAAGCCTAACACTAGGGACGCTGGTACGTCATGACCAGCACACACCTTGTTCGCAACATGACGGCGGCGGGACTTGCAGGACCAGAACCAGAGGACCAATCTATAAATCCTATAGGAACTTTGTTTTCAGATGGGCTCTGCAAGATTGGAGAAACAAGAGATGGGAAAGGAGCTAGCCAAATCAAAATACCTAGCTTGGACCATCCATCCCAGAGACTTTTTCTGCGGGGACGTTGTGTCCCGCTCAGCCCGAATTAGCCCTGACAGACAGGGTTGAAACCCGCCTCCTAAATTATCTGAATTGTGTCGATGTACGACACATTATTTAACCCCCCACCCCACCCCCCTCGCCCAGACTTGAAAAGGTAGTCAGCGTGAAAAAACCAAATCAGCAATTGATCACATTACAGTGGAACTCGGATTTAACGAGCTCGGATTCAACGAGAACTCGGATTCAACGAAATGAGATAGATACCCCGTTTTTTTCCTTTAAAATCAATAAAAGTGACCCGGATTCAACGAGCACTTAAAATCAGCGAGCTTGGATTCAACGAGGTCGCTTCCAATGTGAACAGCCCCCGCAGACGTGGCGTCGGTAATTTTTCTCCCTGAACGAATCCTATCTATTCCCGGAAACCATCCATTACACCTGCATCGTGAACCATTATTCACATAGCCGATTGCATGCGACCAATCAGCGGACTTTTTAAATACCAACACATGTGTTGTTGGCAGGCGCACGTGTCTACTCTGGCGTGTATCGGAGTCGGATGGGCGGCCTTCACACGTGTGGCTGTGTGTGCGTGTCGGGGAGGGGCACTAGCGGTCCGGGCGTTGAACGTCGCATATACAAACGCGTCATAGTCTTTTTTCCCCTCGGCAACTGATCATTATTACAACAATAAGCTAGTCTTGACGTAGATCTACGTACTGAATTGTGCGCTGGTCTATGGAATCAAAAGTTGCCGTATGATAGGCTCTATACAGCAACACAACTTTTTGGTAAACAATCGAGATGACAAGGCGAGTGTATTTGAACGAATCGGTTTTTTTTTTACACAGCTCATAATATTCAGGCATTTCAGGCACTACTTGTGACTTCTCTTATACATTACTTGCTCAGTGTCTGTAATTATCTACACAAAACCTCGTGTTTGCTATAACGAATACTCGGATTCAACGAGATTTTAGGTCAGGCCCGACGACCTCGTTGAATCCGAGTTCCACTGTAGTTACAACAACAATAAAACAAAAACAAGAGCGCATGAACAAACACACCTACGACAGCAGCAGCAGCCACGAAGAGATGCATAATTCATATTATATAGAGAGAGACGTACTAAATATAAAGGGAAATAACCCCCCTCTT